CAGAGCACGAAGTAGTCTGGCCCTTGGGGGGTGGGGTCAGGCAACACTGATCTCAGGTTGGAATGAGAGAAAGGGGGTGTATGGGTGGGTAGGCCCAGTGGAGTGGATGATCATGTAGTTGGTTACCTTAGGGCCTCACTTTGGGGGAGCAAGGGCTGCATGTGGGATGGTTGAGGGGGGCAGAGACCGTCGTGGAGGGACTGTCTACTTCCCATGACAAATAGACCAGGGTGGGCATAGTTGATGACAGAGGTATGGGGGTGCACGGTGGCCGTGTACCTACTGATGAACGAGACTGGGGCAATTCTGGGTGATTACAGAAATAACTACTACAGCAGCTGGTGGATGGTGGCCATGTACCTCCTGATGACGGAGACAAGAGTACCTCCAAATAATATACAACCAGCGTTGACCAGAACGACAGCAGTACAAACACAACGGCTGGAGGAGGGTCTAGTTGATGGTGGCCGTATGCCTTTTTTCTTTTTTTTTTCTCAGGGGTGCGGGTATGAGCAGACACCCCTAGCAACACCGCGCGTAATTCCTACGTAAGTTCGTAGATATTGAAGAAAAACAAAGAAAATTTCCAAAAATCTCGAGAAAGCAAAAATACTCTGAAGTGGGGAGGCCTCAGCGGCCATTTGGACTTGTGAATTACCCATCAGCCAAGAAGAAGGTACCCCAAAGCCCGTCAATGGCCCAAAAGAAAAGAGTAGCAGAACACAGGGCTTCAGAAGTTCGTTCAAGCACATAAGTTGGCACGTCACACGGCTTGCTTTGGGGTTTGATTGGAAGGGTATGCAAAGCCGCGCAGTACAGAACTTGGCTTATCACAAGCCCACATACCACTGCACCCACGCCCGCATAGTAACACCAACCCACATAGTGCCACACCCAGCCCACATGGTACCACATGCAGGCCACATAGTACTGCACATAGCCCGTATAGTACCATACCCAACCCACATAGCACTGTACCCAGCCCACATATAGTACCACATCCAACCCACATAGCACCGCACCCAGCCCACATAGGACTCCACCTGGTGAAACTGACATAGTACCATACCCAGCCCGCACAGTACTGCACGCAGCGAACGTAGTATCACACCCATTCCACACAGTACTGAATCCACCCCCCTTAATGCCGCATCCAGTTCACATGGTACTGTACTGCACCCAGCCTACATAGTCTCAGACCAATCCCCATATGGTACTCCATCAAGTCCATAGTACTGCATCAGCCCACAGCTCGCTGCACGCGGTTGCACCACACCTAGCCCAGAGCCCACTGCACCCAGCCTGAATACTACCTACCGCACCCAGTGCACAAAATAGTACGCCCAGCTCTCCACACACACACACACTCTCTCCCCTGCCCCTCACTTTCTAAAAAACTCTACCTCATTCCTCCCCCCCCACTATTGTGTACTGCTCGTTAATGCATGTGACAGAGCATCATTAAGATAACAGACAAAATATAAGCTGAAGATCTGAGGAAAAATGAACAGGAGTATACCTCCCCTTTTACTCTGCCTCTTTTCACAGCGTGCAAGTTGGCCGTTCTGGCACACAGGGATGTGGGCAGCTTGCGCTCAACCACAATCAACGTGGCGAGCCCTGTACATGAGGGGCACAATAAAAGGGGATCTGCAAAAACAAATAAAAGGGGTACCCGAAAGAAAGCCAAAGCAAAGATAGTCAAGAAGAGGATTCAATGGATCTTAGTCAAGAAGAGGGTTCCATGGATCTATTCTGCTTCGTGTTGCTTGCTTTAGAGGTAGAAATGTTGGACTGACTCATCTCACGTGCACTTCATTGTCTGCAATGGAGGTCAAGCTGCTACGATTTTGGATCGACAGTAACTCATCTAGGTGGGACAGGGGCTGCTGTGATGAAACTCTAAAACAGAGAGAGAGAGAGAGAGAGAGAGAGAGAGAGAGAGAGAGAGAGAGAGAGAGAGAGAGAGAGAGAGAGAGAGGACCAGAGGGGAGGCACAGCGACTGGCCCATCGCAGAAGCTCTGTCCTGATGCTATCAGCTGACCCCTGGCCAGTATTGCCCACCTGCAGGTCAGGTGCAGCCCCCGCATGTTCCCTCCTTGGAGGCTTGAACTTGGCCTGGCTGCTACGGGTTCCCTTTAACACTATAATGATAATAAAAAGGCCTGAAAAGCCATCCTGTCCCGATTGGACAGGTAATTGAACTGGTGGGCCAAAGGATTAAAAAAAAGGAAAAATTGTTGAAATGCCCCTGAACGTTGGCATAGTTGCAACTCTTTGTCCCGGCCATTGTAGCACTTGTGTCGCCCAGGATGTAAGGGGCATGCTGACTTGACGTCATCCATCTCATCCAATACCCCTAAAATTCGTGGATATGTTGAAATGCCCCTATGACAGTAATGAAACTTTGTGAAATGCTCCACTCGCCAATTGGACCTGTCATCTCTTGCATATACCCCCACTGGGCCCTGCAGAACTTGTCTATATGCCCTGGTAATTCTGGCTGTTGGACCCTGCAGATGGAAAAAGCAATGCACAGCCCCTGCAGCCAAGGGCCACGGCATATGGCAAAGTTGCCTATGAGCGGGACGGGGGCAGATGCAGAAATCTGGGGCATTTCAGCATACCCCTGTGTTTTAGGGGTGGGGGCAGATGCAGACGTTTGGGGCATTTCAGCATACCCCTGTGTTTGGGGCAAACTTTTAGGGGTATTTCAACAACGTGCTCAGGACCCGGTGGGAGGATATGCAAGATCTGACAGGTCCAATTGCTGTGTCTTCGCCGCATACTCGCACCAGGACTCTTTCCACTTCTCTGTGGACGAACTACGGCCAGGTGCATCCAGCCCGGGTCGGAGAAGCGGTCATACGCATACGAGATAGTCTTAGTGTGAGTATGCCGTTGGTGACGTGGAGGGAGTTGCCCACTCCGAGCGTGATCGACGTCCAGAGGCGGGTGATTTTGAAAGATTTCGACGGTCTGCGACGTATCGGGCATCACAGGTTTCCTCTCCATCGTCGCGGTTTGCCATTTCCGGATGGGTCGGATGCTAGCATCGCTGCCCGTGACAGGGGAGACTCGCCCGTTGTCGGTGAAGCTGGGTGATTGCTGTGTGCGGATAGCCGAGGCAGAGCTGGCAGTCGGAGAAGAACAGTTGGAGAAGAACACGTGGAGAAGAGGGGCGATCGGTGCGCGTGGGTGGAGACAGGACCGAAGGGTGCGGAGGGTTTTCCATTTGCAGGCGGACGGGATCACGGCTTTGGTTCAGATAGGGGAGAGTTCCTTCCGTCGGTGCAGATCGGTAATTTGTATGTGCGGATCGCTCGAGGCAGGGGGTGAGAGCCCCTCGAACGCACGAGCTGATGGTCCGACCATAGACAGGAGGTATCAGTGTCCACGAGTGACAGATCGGCAAGCGACGGCGGATCAACCTCCTTCTCCCTCCTTCTCTCTCTCTCTCTCTCTCTCTCTCTCTCTCTCTCTCTCTCTCTCTCTCACACACACACACACACACACACACACACACAAGCACAGATCACGCCGCTCT